ATTTTAAAGGATATAATAGTAAGAGTTATATAACATAACACACATACAAATGTCACCCTTATATCCAAAGGTACACCTCTCCATGATATGCCACCCTTATCCCATAGTACACCTCTCCTTGATATGTCACTCTTATCCCATGGTACACCTCTCCTTGATATGTCACATTTATTTCCTCATTAAAATATTTCACAAAAACAATTCCAATTAGAACAGACCACAGCCATAAATGTTCTAATGGAATATCCATTAGTTCAAAATCACTCTTTATCAAAATTCTCATTTTTATACAAGAACACTAAAAATGACAATTGTATAAATAATACATAAGTCAAAGCACAAATCCGGTCAACACAGACTTGGCCGGACTTCATCTCCGGTCAGGMSTTGGCCGATTTACTAATCTGGACAGCTCTCTCAAAGCTTTGTCCGATTTAACACTTAAGAGAATTCCAACACTTTTTGTCCAGATAACAAATCCGGACAACACATGGTCGTATTCATATTTCTCCGTTTAAAATATAAACTCAATATTTATAAATCGCTTAACACTTGTCCGCTCTAAGGCTAAACCGCTTATGCCTTGACCGGTTGAAGTCCAATCTGAACAATACTCAAGCGGTTTATTTATAAATCGCTTAAGCCTTTTGAAATCAGCCTTTTGAAAAGCTTAGATTATAGTCCGGTCAACTCTTCTTCTTCTTAAATCGCTCAAAAAGGGTCTCAAAATAGAAAGAGGTTACAATGGAGGCTTTAACCTCCCTTTTATATTTTCCAAATAAGGAAAGTCGGCTACTACAGCTGACACCACATACATTCCTTCACACTTAATCATACAATCACACACACACACACACACACATATATATATATATATATATATATATGTATATACACTTATGCACACATGCACATACATGCATGCATATCATATATATATATATATATATCATACAAACATGTGCATCCATAAATACACATAATCTCATTCATGTATCTACATTATGCATATTTTCACATACTAACATGATTAAATGTATTAATTTATCATGATGTCACGTAATCACATATAACAAATAATCACATATTTATTACCTCATGTGACAACCAACATCTGGTTATCACAATTTTATGAGGCCCGATTGTAAAAGTTCACTTTCGAGAGATTGGAATTTTTATAAACAACTCATAAAAGTCTAATCTTTTTATTGTTAATTTTATCTTAAGGAACACTTGCACTCATGCCAATTATTTTAGTATAAAAAGTTTATTTCGTTATTTCGATAGTTCGGTTCTCTTTCGGTCTTTTTATAAACAACGATCCAACTTCTATTTACAACCCGAAACTTGTGCAAGAAGTTCATAAAAGTCTCTGAATCTCAGTAGTCATTTCCTTGTGGAACGATCTCGGTACTTTTTACCACTTTATTATTTGCAAACGATTATAGTGTCGGCATGCACTTGCACCGCCACTATGGGGACTTTGTGCCCACTGGGTGAACACGAACAATCCTAGCCTGTCACTCTCCTTTTTTTATTCTTAGTCAGCATCTTCAGAATCTAGATCATCAATCTCTGGTATACCCAGTTTAAAAACATTGGCATCTTCTTCAAATTTTTCTCTTTACAACACAAACTGAGGCACATATGAAACCTCTTTTTGAGGTTTATTTTGTTGTTGACTTTGATAAATAGGTAGAAAATGTTGTTGATCAAAAAATAGAGGTTGATTCTTAGGGACCAATTGTTTTTGACTCTGATAAATAGGTAGAGCCTCAATGATTGGAGGAGGGTTGGAACTTCCTTCAATATTGCTTCCTTTACCCGATCGAAAACCACCACTGACAGAAGTTTCAACCCACAACTAAAGTGTAGTCAATCTTCTTGAATTGGAAGCAAAATCCATAAACACGATAACATCATCATCATCGCCTAATAGGAAAACACGCCCATCATACTTGTATGATAACCTAAATTCACCTTCTATTTCAAATTTTTATACAACATAGCTAATCAACCTATCATGTGTAATGTTGCATGGCAACATTACACCGCGTTGCGGAATTTGATCAAACACATACTCCGTAAAATTGTTTACTTTTTTCCCATCTTCCTCCACGAATATGCAACCTCAATTTCTGGGTTGTAGAGGCCATTTGAAATTGACAGAATTAATAAGAGAAAAACTAGGGTAAGAGCAAATAATATATGATGCAATTATAATGAGAGAACACTTACAAAAAATTAAAGTAAATATAACGAGACAATAATTCCAAATATATAGAGAATCTCGGTAATTTTACAAGGTTCTTATCGAAAAATTAAACAAGCCACAAGGGCCAATATCATAACTTAACATTAAATAATAGTATTGGTGTTATTAATTCATACTTACAAGTTACTGAAAAAGCTACTAAAAAGCTCATACATAATCAAGGTTCTAAATGACGTGAGGCGTGGCGGCAAGGACAAACCACAAACCTTATGAGTTATGGCGAGGCCACGATGTTTTTCAAGGCATGTTCTAAGGCGGCAATATATATATATATATATATATATATATATATATATCTAATAAAAAATTTTAACTCAAATAAACAATGAAATCGACAGTTTTCACGATTTGTACAAATGATTTGGTTTGCAAAATATTCTTCCCACATATATATATATATATATATATACACTATCTTATTAATCAAATTTAATAAATGTCTTAAAGTCTTAAAAAAATACAAAATCTAAAACACAAAGTACTTGTTTTTAAAAGACAAAAGTACTTGTCTTTTAAGCTTTCCCTGAGGAGATCTAAAACAGAAAATGACTTTTAAGCTTTCCCCAATATGACTTTTAAGCTTTTATCAAGATGACTTTTAAGTTTTCCCTACAGAAATCTATATATATATATATATATATATA